CAGGGGGGGGGGGCAGGGGGATCTAATAAAACGCTGCAACTGCTCCAACCATTAATACATACGCGGCTATAGGCAATAGCAAAGTCTTCGAGATGGTACAAAATAGACTAATACCATTTCATTTGCCTAATGAAAAATAGTGAACCAAGGTGACGTGCACTAAAGCTCAAATCATCGATTTGACCTCCCATGATGTTGGATTTGATCATTTTCTAACTCTTACTATAAATTAAAAACAAACTTTTATTGGTTTTTCTTAACAAATCCAATTATGACGTAACAATACTAGAACGATTTTCGTTATCAAGCTTCTCGACTCTTTTATCTCTTTTAAAGGGGTTGACATGTAGAAAACAGGCGCTCGATGGAAAATTTGTTCGTTAAAATGCCTGTAATTCAACTGGTATTCCTTCTAATTTTGGCGTTCCAAACATGTTATGGACAAAATGGTAGGTCGTTATTTTGAATGTTCCTTATTTTCTTGAAGCCATAACACTGATCGATGAAAACAATTTATATACCAATACATTGATCTCATAAACTGAACTACAAAACGTGTTCACAGATCCCAAAGATATCGAAGAAGAATTCGAAACTCTTAGACAATAGGAACGACCAACAGTAATTAACTAGAAAGAATAGTATTTTTTTAAAGTAGCAAAGTAGAGTAATATGTGCGTAAAATAATAATAATAATAATAATAATAATAATAATAATAATGAAATCTTTATTGAGTTTTTCCCAAATACAATCGTAAATCTCGCTACTTATAGGTAATTTACAATTGGCTACTTGAATCGAATACAAAATGTGAAAAATGACAAAAAGAAAAAGAAGAAAAAAAATGAAGACTATTAATACTGCATTAATTCAGGACTCTTCCATTCTTTGTTCCTGCATCAGAAAATACAATATGATGATCTAATTGCAATATTTATTAACTTTCTGATGATGTAAAGGCGATCATTGTTATTGRAATMWAGGTCTTCTAACATGTTGATAAAATTAGCAGAATCATTAGCGAATACACCAAGTGCACTGATGGATAGGTTAACGAAGACTACATTTTTATACTGAATTTTCAAACTTTGAACAGAATCCTTATATTTCGCGTTTTTACGAGTTATGTTATTTTGTAGATTTGATTCATAATCCACTCTTAGCTAATAGCGGAGCTCTCGGAGCTGAGCACCATACTTAAGAAGAAATGGTAAATCATCTAGTTGATTTTTCATGGCTTGGCTGACTACAACAGCTCCAGCAAAAGATGTAACCTTTGCCTTAAAGAAAAATTTCTAATAATCTATCGACCGGAACTCTCATCATTAAATATATTAAACATATAAGCGTCCCCTCCCCCGCGAAATTTGATTGAGAATTTTTTTGAATTTTCAAATGCCAGCCCCCCACTTTTCAAGACTGTTTTCCCTATCCTATTTTTACCTTTCAGATTCATTCAAATTAGGCTACCTGTGACTCTCGTATCGGGAGCTCCGCTTTTAGGCAGTGACTAAATATATATACTAAGCTAAGAACCCTACCGTCTCAAACCTTGTATTTCAATTGATGACAAAAATCTTAAACAAGTTTACACAAGAAGGTTGGTCATTTTCTTCCTTGGGACAAGCATATAGATCTGGAGAAAGTTTCTAAACAGCAAGCTAGTTCACTAAGGAATAGGACGTATTCAATGTATAGATGTAAGCGTGATTTCGTTTAAAAAACCCTAATTTCCATATACACAATGCTTTAGTCCAACCACACTTTAATTATTGTAGTGAGGTTTGGGATACCCTTGATCAAGGTCACTCAACCAGGCTTTAAACAACTTGAGAATAGATCTGCACAATTGAAAATGAATATGAGGTACAACGAGCAAAGTCAAAAAAGCCAAGCATGTATAGTGATCAGTGGCTTGGCTCCGATTTGCCTTGCAGATCTTTCCTCTCATAACAAAACACATCATAATCTTAGGGTCTCTTCTACCTCACTGCAGCTACTGCTACCTAAAACCGAGTGTCTCGAGAAACATTTCAATCTTTTATACTGGAGCAAAACTGTGGAATTTCGCTTCCTGAATCACTTTTCGTTAATGTGGTACTCATCCACTTTCAATAACAGAATTAATGCTCACACTTTTCTTTGCGGATTCTTTTAATATATAGTAATTAGTTACTAAAATAATTGTTATTAGTTGTAATTATTTAATGTGGTTAAATAAAATATTTAAGCAAAGTTAGACTTGAACTAAGTTGCCTGTTATCGCAAGTATCTGTCATCAAAAGGCTATCTCATATCGCTAACGCTAGCTTACGCAGTTTGTACGCTACACCAACGCTATTTGTTTTTACGCTATACTCTCGTTATGTCTCGGGCTACACGAAGTAGTACGGCCGTACTCTCTGCAGAAGACCGGCAGGAGATTATCCGGGAAGTTGTTCAAGCGGTTTTGGAGGCATCCTCTGCAAATGGGTCAGGAAACTCGTCCTCCTCGCCACCTTATTCTTCACAGCCTGCACTGCCAACTTCTTCCACCTCCGCAGTGGTTTCTGCTACGCAGGACGCTACAGGTACGTCTATTTTACCTGTACCTTCATTCGCCAGCACTTTTACGCTACCATCGCAGTCATTGGCTGACACAAGCGCTACGCTAGCTTTCTCAGCATCTGTGCCGAGCTCCGTCTCGTCGGTTTGGGCGCCATCATTGCCATCTGTTTCGGCGGTCTTGCATCAGCCTTTTATCGTTGGCCCAGGTTGCTCTCCCGTTCCCGCAAAGCTGGTTACCCAGATCATCAGTGGCAAGTTCGTCGACATGAGCGAT